GCCCAAAAGCAAGGTACCTCAGCAAGTAGGAGACTGATTTTATCATCAGAAGTGGCCAGCAAATCCAATGCTTCAACAGAGGAAGAATCTTTGATTAAATTTTCATCATCCGTAGACAAATTCACACTGCATTCAAGAAGCCGGTCGTGAAGAAGCTGGCACTTGTTGAACAGCTTTATCTTCCATTTCTTACATGCTTCATTATTTTTCTTCCCTGTTCTAGTTGTGCCTGCAAAATCAGAAGATTACATCTCATGGCAAGAAACTTGGAGCAATGATTTGCTCTGACTACACTTAATATCTCTAGAATGCTTAATAAAGATGAAATTTTCAACAGGTATTAACGGTTTTCTATTTCTTTTATTTTGGTTGAATGGCTCGAGAAGAAACTTAACGAATAACAAATACTTAAGTACAGACAGTTACCTCAGCTTCAGATTTTTCTGACAGTGATTGACCAACCTCCTGCTTCGGTTCTTTTTGGGATTTCCGGAGAGACTTGACCTCTTTAACTAGAACTTTAATATCTTCTTTTGATTTTGCCTCTAGTTCTTCGTATCGCTTTGATATATCATTCAGCTGCTCCTTAGTAGCATTTAACTCTTGCAGCAGTGCATCTTTGTCCTCAGCAGCAGATTGGTTGGTTGTCTCTGTTATTTGCTTCTCATCCTGTCAAGTTTTGCTGTCCATTAGTGAATCGTTAAACATTATAAGAATATTTAACCAGCAACGAGATAACATTTTTGATGCTTGTCCAAGAGAAAGCAGCGGTGGTTAATTTTTTTCGAAAAAATGAAGAAAAAAAAATTACAGAACGTTGAATACAACTTCAACAACCAGGTTCGTTTCCAAAAACAAGTTTTTGTTTTAACCTTATGGAGCGTGTGAGGGGTAGGGGTTAAGTTATTACTGAGAAAAGGAATCAAACAACTAGAAACATAGAATCATCAGTTATAAGCAACGCCTCTCCAAGCATAACTTATCTGACCAAGTTCATCTTTTACCTTAATTGAGAAAAAATATTTGCAGATAGCATCCATATCATGCACGTGACAATTACGAAGAAAAAACAAATTTCAATAATAAAGTGGAGTTGAATGCATTACCCGTTTAGGATTCAGTTTCAACTCCGTTTTCAGTGATTTCCGCCAAAGGTCTTCCATTTCCCACTGCATTCGAGTAAACCTTTCTCTTTCAAGCGGGATAGCTTGCTGCAGGTTTTCTTTACTTCTTTGTTTGGTGTTTCCAAGTTCCACCTCCAGATCCTTAACCTGAGCATCTCCAATTTGTTAATTCAATTCAACCTCAAGATTGCTAATATTTTACCAATTCTCATTCCACCTCTAGTGGGACAATAAGCACCCAAAGATCAAATGCATTAGAAAATGAAATGAAATGAAATGAATGATAAAACATTTGACAAAGAAGGGAAAACTAGAAAATGCAATAATGATTGATACATACAATAACCAAATGCTAACCATACAAAAGTTCCCACTTTGCACACAATTCACCCGAATGTTGATCAAACAAAGGATATAATTGAAAGAAAGGGAAATATAAGTAGTAAGCTTCACAAGTACGAGCTATGCAGCCAAAAGTCCCTGAATACTGATAATATCTCAATAATAATGACACAAAACTATTTAAATTATGAAAACTTTCAAAATTTATCTCAGAAAGCATACCAAACTGCTTCCACACACCTTTGTCATAAGATAACCTTTCACTGCTATTTCTTGATTCAATCTGGCCATAAGATCATCCATGTCAGTTTTTGCAGTGACTAGTCTCCTCTGCATGGTTAGAAGAACACTGTCATCTTATGACGCTGTTCCAATGGAAGAACTATTTGTGTAACTCCAGAGGACTGAGGATCGGAGTTTCCAAGGGTTCCCATGGTGTTTAATATTTCCGCAGTTCCAGAAAGGTCATGAGAGCCATTAACAGATGAATTTGGAATCCCATAAATGGACATGTCGCTGCCTCTCAAAGAACTTACATCACTTCCAACACTTTCAGTTGATAACTTCCGAGTATGACAGGCCACCTTACCTGGCTCTATCTCAGAAAAGAGTTCCAGTCCATTACCGGCAGTAAGTGAAGGTCTGGACCCCAGTATATATGTCTTTCTCCAAACTATTATTCATGTTTATGGCGTGTGATTTATGCCTAGAAAAATCTTCTAGCTGCTCCAAAATTGCTTGTCCCATGAATACTCCCTCATCAATATTGGGCATACCATTCTTAACAAGTTCTTCTATTGAACCTGTTAAATCTTCATTCAGTGTCAGGTCTCCCGAACCAATTTCTGAACTGTCATCTCTTCCTAATCTAGGTTTCCCAAGCTCAGATGTCTCATAAGCAGTATCACTACCGTAATCTGATGTGATTAATGAATTGCCAGCAAAATGACATATAGTTGCATGGGGAGGAACATTATTTGATGAAATTGTGCTATTTTCAGCAATATTAGCTTTAGAAGAGCATTCATTTAATTCTTGGACTGCTGAAAAGAATAAGAAATGTAAAAACTCCAAGTTAATGATAAAACTATTCTTAATTATGGATAATATATATCTATACGCACATATAGAGGGTCAATTAGACAACCTATAATTTTAGATTCCATTAGACATCCAATTTTACAGCTAAACTTTACAAGGTAATATAACTAAGTCTCAAAGTTCTGCTAATGAAGTAGAATTGCACATACAAGACCTCGCAGCAACTTCTAGTTCAAGAAAGGATGCTACTGTGATATTCTGGAAAAGTCAATGCCAGATAACAGCTTCGTCATCCACTCCTCCAGTGAACACCTTCTCTACAAAAAATCTAAGCTGCTTTATTTAGTTGTCTAAATAATACATAAGAATGACCTTTCAGTGTTAAAATTCAATCTTTTCCCCAAGTAACAGATATTTGTCAAGTAAAATCTCTAATCAATGTTAGCTTTGTTAGTCAGTAGGAAACTATAGATATCATTCGGATTTAAAACTTGAAAGATTTTTCTAAAAAAGAAAAAAAGAATCCTTTCAAGGGTTTTGAGTTTTGACTCATCCAACGCAGAACGAAGTTCAATATCAAGGGATGAACTTGTTATTAGCAACTACAAGAGAAAACAAAGCTAGTAGTGACAATTAAAGAAGAAAAATGAGAGCTATAATAGACCGTGGCACATTTTCCAGATGATGTAGAGAAGGAAAACAAGTGAAGTGGAAAAACTTCTTCCAACAGAGCCCTGCTTTTCAAATGCAACAGCCGCTTGGGTGGAGCAGGGGGAAAACTTTTCTTGGGACATGCTTTTTTCAACTGTAGATGGAAGTCAATAACAATATAAGTGGCCCAAAGTCAGATGTGTTTGAATATTTTAATCATAGTGCATGTCATTTGTTTCTACAGTAATGCTCAAGTGATATGTCAAACTGACAGTTCTCTAACATACACTCAAAATCATGGACTTCTCGGTGCAACATAAAGGGAATGGCAGAACTTACTTCATCAAATAGCTTCAAAAAATCATTGAATCTTCTCAACACCCCATGCGAAGTTGTAGCACCATCTGGTGGTTGTATCCCAACATTTACCCTGTAAAACTGCCATCTAAGAATGTAACCGATAACCATGGGAAATAAATTAGTGACTAAAAGCATTTACATGATTGATGATTATGACAGAATTCTGAAACTGTTCTTTAAGATGTTGAAACAAATACCAAAGAGTAATAGATTTTACAGCATATAGACCCATTTAGATGTTGAAAATATTTTTGAACCATGATATAAAATCATAACTTTAAGTGTTATAAGGATGAGGATGAAATTTGTATTCTAAAAGATAACTAAAAAAAATACCAAGTAACAACAAGAAAAGAGTGAGATAGCATCTACCATAAACACATATACTAGTGATTACCACAACAGGATCATAATCTCTTTTCGGAAGGACAACCCACGAAGGTATTGTGACGCAGTAACTCATGTGGCCAAACAGTTTCCCGCCCATTCTGCATGTATGTGTAAATTGAATAAGCACTAAAATCAAAATTCAACCATAAGTCTGCCAACAGCCAAAAAAGTTCTACTAAAACAATCATAACATGAACGAAGGACATCAAAATCCATTCCTTTACAGAGTTCTCCTATCACGGTCCTTCATTAAAATTACCAGCACTAAATTTTCAGCTGCAAATGCTTAAAACCGGCTCATGAGATCTAAAATAAAATATACTAATGAGATTGAAATCGAAGTGAACCAATTATAGCTCCTCATGTGCCTATAAAACCAAGACAGTCTCGATTAAAGCTTTGGATGAAACGAAAATATAAGCAAAGTTCATTGGTGGAAGCCTATGTAATGGAAGAATGGGAATCTCCAAGATGTGTGAGACAACAGCAAGCTCTCATTTATTACCTTCTTTATACTAAAAACAAATAGAATACACACCAAAGGGTGATTTAACTTAATTTTATAAGATTTTTTTTATTTAAAATTGAGTTTGAAATAGACTATAAAGAGTTGTGTAATACCAACAAAGTTGATTCAAGTGGTAAATAATTTGATATCATTTAAGTAAGGTTTCGAGTTCGAGTTCTTGTATTTACAAAAATCTTCGCTAAGAGATTCATCCATCAAAATCAGATATTCGACACGGGTTAATATAAATTAATTAGGACACATCTACATTAAAAGAATCTTTAATTTAATTTGAACTTAAATAATTATATAATATTCTTGTAAAAATAATTATTGCAATACTTGCTTTTATATATTTTCAATTATTTTTAAAATAAAAATAGTTTAATATATCTCATTAAATCTAAAAATTGTAACAAACATTAGGGTCCCGTATCTATCCTTAATGATATTCTTTTGATTTTTTCCCCTTATCCAGCTGTTTAATGCATATTTTTTTTCATTTATTGAAATATCTGCACACAAATCCGGATCCAGCTCAGTAGCTCATTCCAAATCAATTATTTTATATAAATTCTAAAGAATTAGAAGAAGGTTCGCTCAGAGGAGAAAAAGCTGCTGTTGTTTTTTTAGATAGATCTATCGAAGTGAAGCGATCTATCGAGAGAGAGAGAGAGAGAGAGAGAGAGGTATTGGAGTTTAGATGGCGATACTGTACGCGCTGGTTGCGCATGGATCGGTGGTTCTGGCGGAGTTCACGGCGGCGTCCACTAATGCCAGCTCTATCGCTAAGCAAATTCTGGATAAGGTACCGGGAGATAACGACACTAACGTTTCATATTCGCAGGATCGATTCATCTTCCACGTCAAACGCACCGATGGACTCACTGTTCTTTGTATGGCCGATGAAAGTGCCGGAAGTAAGTTAGCTAAATCTCCTTTCTCGTTATTTAATTTAGATGGTGATTTTTGTCCGAAATTTAACTTACGTCTAATTGACGCGATAGGATTACAATTCAATTTCGATTGCTTTGAAGTATTCTTGAACTCTTTTCAAACTAAGAGAACTAAGAGATAACCGTTGTCGATTGAGCAGAAAGTTGAAGTTTTATGTTTGGTTGACAGTCTAGAGTTTTATCATTGCTTCAAAACGATATAGATCATATCATTTCGTCAATTGTAGCAATTATGAGTATGTTTACGAGTTATAGATGGAAATATTAATGTTCTTCCGAACATTCTGTTGATTTCTCACTATTGAAATTGAAAATTTATAGCTCGAACTCTTTGGTAACTTGGTTCAAGTGTTGTTGACGGTGGATGTGTTTACTGTATCTTTTGCAGGGCGAATTCCATTTACATTCCTTGAAGACATTCATCAGAGATTTGTGAGGACATATGGAAGAGCAGTATTTTCAGCCCTTCCTTACAGCATGAATGATGAATTTTCAAGGGTCTTGAGCCAGCAGATGGAATATTACTCTAGCGACCCTAATGCCGATAGAATAAATCGACTTAAAGGTGAAATGAGTCAGGTAGGCTTTAAACGCTCGGGATCAGGTTATCAATTCCTTTATTCTAGTTCTTTTTTATTCTTATTGGCAGTTTCTTTTTCGTATTCAACCTACTTAGCTATGGCGTTTATTTGATCACATAAAGATGAGCTTATACCTACTCTTAAAATGAACTAGTTTGCTGTTTAGTCATCACATGGAGTAGAAATTTCTAATATTAATCGTATAGTTCCAACCATTTATAATATACCATTTAACATTTCCTTTTCTAGCATGTTCTGAACTTCTCAAGTTGTTCCTTGTACTCCAATAGGTGAGAAACGTTATGATAGAGAATATTGACAAAGTTTTAGAGAGAGGTGACCGCTTGGAATTGCTGGTCGACAAAACTGCTAATATGCAAGGAAATACCTTCCGCTTCAGGAAGCAAACTCGCCGATTTAGAAACACAGTATGGTGGAGAAACGTCAAGCTTACGTATGATTTCTGAACTTTAAAACCTCTTTATTGTATGTTACTGCATTGAGTCTGGAAGTGAACTTTACTAAGAAGAGCATAATTTTGCAGTAAAACAGTTAGCCTTAGGATACAATAGATACTAGGAAAGATGGACTTGTCTCTCACTGTCTTGCATTACACATTGCAGGGTTGCTCTTATAATCCTCCTCGTAATTATTGTTTATGTCGTGCTGGCTTTTGTTTGCCACGGGGTCACGCTACCTTCATGCCTAAAATGAGGTCAACGATTTTAGATTCGAATTCCTCCGGTCCTTCCCCATGGAATCCCGTTTCCTTTGCTTGGTGATGTTTTGTTTCCACTTCCTCTGCAGTGAGTTGTATACTATTTATTTATTCAATGTCAAAGAACTAGAATTTTCATGCCGCTATTGTGTATCCATAGTTTCTTGTGAAGTCTGGAACTGGTTGGTGTTTGTGTCTTGAAGACGTTGGTTGATCAAAATTTATCTAAGACCGTGTAATTCTTTTTCCTTATGGTAAGTCTTCTTCATTACTTCGCCAATTATGCATACCTAGAAAGGTATTCATTAGATCAATTGATTTCGAGCATAACATGAATGCTCGATACCGTTGAAGGTATATGCAAATAATGGATTAACAATCCAAATGCTCTGGGCATAATCAATCCGAGGCACTATTTGAGACTTACGATCGACATACACATAATTTGTAATTACAACTAAAACCTTGCATTCCTTGCTTAGTAAAACATTTGATGATACTCTCTATTATACTAATCTGTCATCTACAAGATTAAATCTGTTTAATAATTCCTGCAATTCATGCAGTGCAATCTTATAGCGTTCGGATTGTGCTCCTCCTTCTACAACTGGAACTGCACACTTATGCAAGTGATTTTGCCAATAAACCGGGTTATGCACAACAATGTCCTTAGAGCTTTGATCAACATGCTGAGATTTGAAATCTTTACACCACCGATGCATTATGTAGCGCGAGGGAATTTCCTCCACACCGTTATAATTAAGGACATTCAATGCATGCCTGCATAAGTAACCTTTGTAGTTGAACAAGCTGCATATGCATCGGATATCGACCTGGCTAGTCTCAAACAACACCTCATAACTCCTAATCTCCTTGTTTCCTTCAATCTGGACTCTTTCTTTAACAATGTATGTTATTATTGGGCCATTCACACTCACCTGGCTCGTGTTGAAGCAAGAGTACATCCCCTCGACTTCGGACTGAAACTTATTGAAGATTTCTTTTGTGTACACTTTAGAGAGCTGCACCTCGAAATTGCATCTCGTTTTCAATTCAAATCTTGAATTTTTTGACTGCATATCTGCGGTGGCTTCTTTTAGGCGATTCCTATAAAGAGCTAAATCATATTTATCGACAAATTCCTTGAATGATGTATGCTTATGTACATAACCATAAAAAAATGCATTCAAACTCTCGTTTTCTCGGACAGGGATCATTCCGGAAAAAGCTGTATCTTTTAAGTAAACCGGAACCCATTGTTTCCTTTCTTCGTACAAAGTTTGGAGCCATTTGTTATCCCCAAGACCGTGCTTCTTGATCATTTCAGCCCAAGAAGTTTCGAACTCGATTATCTTTAGGGAGTTATAGACAGCTTTATTCAAGTGCCTTCTAATTTCTTCAAAGCCTCTCAATCCTCCCAACTTCTCTGGAACTCTCTGCATGATATACCACAAACAAAAATAATGACGAGCCTTTGGGAAAACCTCATAAACAGCAACTCGCAAGGGTTTGCATTGGTCTGTAACAATAACTTGCGGTGGGTGCCCTAGCATGCATTTAAGCCATGCTCTAAAAATCCAGACGAAGTACTCAACTGACTCGTGTCCGATGAAGCCACATCCCAACAACACCGACTGTCCATGATGGTTCACTCCAACAAAAGAGATCAAGGGAATTTCATATTTATTTGTCAAGCATGTTGTGTCAATAGCAACAGTGTCACAAAAATAACCATATGCAGCCCTGGACCTTGCATCTGCCCAAAAGACATTCTTCAAACGACCATCGTCGTCAAGATCCATCAAATAAAAGAAGTTTGGACTAGTCAACTTCATGCGACAGAAGAAATTATAAACGGCATAAGAATCTCCCTCTTTAAGTTCCAAATGTTTAGAGTGATCCGCTGGATGCCTACCCTCTCTTTCGGAAACATTTGAATATCCGTTAGACACAGCACCCATGGCAGCGGTTCGATACAGCTTGATGGTATGTATTTCTGTTACAGGCTTTGCTTGTGGTTGTGACTTTCTGGTTGCAAGAATCATTTTCTTATGAGACTTGTAAAACCTTTTGATCTGTGGACTAACCTGGTGATTGTGTTTGAGCTCAACTTCGACTATTCTCCACCTTTTAGAGTCCACGAGCCTGATGACTACCATTGCAGGACATCCAGTTCTCGTTTCTGGTCTCGGATTGTTGGCTTCACTCTTTTTCTTAAAGCCTGCACTACTACAGCTAAGTTTTGCTCTATATCGCTCTTTCCTTTTGGTTCTAAACCACGAATTGCTAACTCTAATGCCAAAACCCTGCTCCTTAGCATAGATATTGTAGAAGTCATAAGCTTCGTCAAATGAATCAAACTCCAAACCAACAGTAGGTGGAGGTGGTTCTTTCTTTGAATGTTTTGCACCGCTTTCCTCATCATGTTCCACAGCACTGCAGTCTCCCTCACCCTCATATTCATCGACCACATCAAATATTGGCTCACTATTAAGACAGACTTCTTCCATCTGGGAAGCAAAATGATAAAAACATAATCCTAAGAGTATCAGATAAAGCTAACCAAGAAAATCAACTACATATAACTGTTCTACTTGGACTAAACATTGAATAAAACCAAAAATCCAACTTAATGTCGGAGACCAGACCAACTCTATGGAGCTTCAACTCATAGAAGAATATAATTTTCTTAATCAATGCTAATACCCAGTCACAAGGGTTTGGTAAAAGAAAAGACAATTACAATTACTTTCTTTTGACCTAGGAGGCCATAATCAAGGTTATATGTCATTTCTACTACATGATCCCATGGAAAATTCAATGTCCTGTTTTCATGGAACATATCCCGATAAAAAAGAAATCATACTGAATGTAAATAATGGAGGACAAACTAAACAATGGAACCATACCTTCAACTCAAAATATAACACTGTTCTTTATATTGTCCATGCCAAGAATCACGTCCATCGATTTTCCTATCAAACAGTAAAAAAAACAAAAGACCCTGAAGCACTGAGAAGCCCATGGACTATATGCTTACAGTTCAAGCTTCCCCCTCTGGCATAGTTTTAACAACTATAGCAAGCCTACAACATTCTTTCACTGCAAAATGAAAACTTAACCTTAACTCGTGCAACAACTGATACTCATAAGAAACTAGCTACACCATAGCATGTGATAACCGTATGAATAAAATAAAACATATTGAAAGAAAATTTCACAAGTAGGACGCCCCTTCCATAGGATTAACATTGTAAAAACTTCTTTCACTGAACAAGACAACTAGATTCCCAAATAAGCTTCCACAATTTAGAACAAAAGAACCGTGAGCAAAGAACAAATCAAAGAACTAATTTCTGTAAGACGCTTAAAACTGTTGTCGTTACACGAGGAATATCCAGACCTGTGTGATGCATAATATTCAGCCAATGACATCAAGATATGAATGAAGCTGGCTGTTGCAACATTTGTCGAATAAATGCTTGAATCTGATTTTATCCAAATTAACATATTAACACCTCTAGATTCCCATTCAAAATAGCATATATGTTTATCAGCTCAGAGTTGGAAATAGCAGCAGCAGCAACAATGGAACAGCAAAAAGTAAGAGACACCCCCAGATTCTAATTCCTTTGCAGTAAAACTTCATTGGTACGGAACTTAAAGTTCAAAACTAGTAAGAAGTATTTCCAAGTAATACATTATAGATATATTCACTTATAATTGGACCATAAAATCCTTGCAACAATCTGGTAATACTATGTAAGTTATCAATAACAAATTACCAAATAAGAACCAAAACTAAACAGTAAAGGCGATCGCACTAAAACAAAAGAATTCTGATTGTCAAATATATTTCCTGCTATTAAAACAAGTGTTTCAAAGATTAAATTACTTGCTTTAATCAGAAAGCTGATGAGCTTTAAGCATCATAAATGATTTATTTTCCGTTTGGTAGCTGAGAAAACCGAAACGTCATTGTTTCCTACCTTGCTACTCTATTAGTACTTGTTAGTAATCAAAATTTAAAACAATACAAAATTTAATTGTCAAAATATCTATCGAAAATTTTCAAGCTTGATACTGGTCAATAATCACTTGATCATTTCGTTTATAAGTTCTTTACTTCATCTCATCAACCAAAATCGAAAAACCAAATCGCTCCAAGCCCTAAGTCAACGGTGTAGAACTTAAGCAAAAAGAAATCAAAATTGACGTTGATAAGTTGAAATTGTAGATATGATCTTACGATGAATCGTCGAGCGAGCTGAGGGAGACGAGGAGGAATAGGGCGAATGGAGCTGAGGCACTGCCTTTTAGAATTGGAATTGGGAAGGAAAATGCGAGTCTCACACTGGGGATTACGAAGGTTTCATAAATCTATCGACTCGCTGACTTGACACGTGGGAACTCTCTCTCTCTCTCTTATGGTTTACTGACTACAAAGTATTGCGTGCACTGTGCTGCTACCGTGGGTTGGTGGCAGCTTGTTTTCTCTCTCATTCCCTTTGTTTTCTCAACAATATCACCTATCCATTTTTTGCAATTTTAATATAAAATCTTGTGGTGTTAAAAGACCATATATCAAATCCTATATTTTGACGCAATCACTGGCTGATGGTGATGCTTTTTGGATATCAAGAGTTGATGAATCCAGAAGCTAGAGACGAAGGTTTGTTGAAGATAACATTTTCTAGAATTTTTCTAATCTAAATAATCATTTTCGTAATTAAATAAAAAAAAACTATCCATCTCAATTTTAAAAATTGCTTTTTTATGTTTATATTAAAACATCCTTTTGACAATGCATTACGAGGTACAAATAAAATATTTTTAAATGAAATATTTTTAGGGTCCACATATATATAACTTTTAAATAGAATGGGTATAAATAAAATTTTATGATAAACCTCATTCGTAAAATAAGTAATTAATCGAAAAAAACTTAGATTTCAAGACGAGCACGAAAAATTTCAGAACGAGTACCATCAATAAAATAAATAACTAATCGAAAAAAATTTAAATTTCAGGTGAACATGTGTCCACCCACACTAAGATGTGGCTCTGCCACTATTACGAAAAATTTTTAATATAATTTTTGAGTGTTTCTTATTAATTTAATTATTTAATACATCCTTCCAACCTATATAATGTCATATATATATATATATATATATATATATATATAATATGTCCGAAAGTATATTTTATTAGACACATTTTTTAAAAGATACTATTGATATGACATACATTT